GTCTGGGCTTGTGCGTGGTGTGTAATCTTTTTGGGCCAAAAATATTTGAATTTTATTTTATTTTTTGGTAAAATAAAATCCAGAATTCAAATTAAACTGTTTTGGATTTATTGTTCATCCAAACAAGGCCCTTCCCGTTTCTATCTGTTTGAATAAACAGATTCAAATCTGTTTAAATTTGAATCTAACAGGTTTCATACCTGTTCAATTCAAAACGAAAAGCCACCTTAACATCTATAAATAGACTAGCCTCCCATTTGGATTTTACTCAGATTTTTCGTACTCCATCCTCTGCAAATTATATTCTTCATCTTGCTGCATTTTATTTCCGAAAGAAGTGTAAACACTTAGTGTGTTCGTAAGGCAAACAATTAGTAGTGCTGCTATTGTTTGTGGTAGATCATTTCATCCTGGGAGATAGACGTCCAAATTCTGAAAGCACCGTGGAGAGGACGAATCTGTCTTAAGGACACAGTGTTAAACACTGGACTTGATCAGAAAAGTTATTCAAATAAATTAACCAAGTAAGTTGTTTAATTTTATTCTGTTTTTATTTGTTTATTTAATCAGATTTTAATTTTGTTTTTTGTAACAAAATAAAATCTGTAGTTTTATTTATTTATTTTTATTTCGAGTTTGATTTTTGTAATCAAACATTTTCTCTCATTTTATCTATTTCTTTTATTCTTGTTGTTGTTTTGTACACAACAGAATTTAATCTATTTAAATACAGTGAAGATTGTCCTACAGGCTATCATCAGGTGATTCTCCATGTGTCGAAGATGCTAAGAAAGGTAGTGACGGGGTCAGTGGTATGATGGATTTTTAGTTGGAACTTTTAATTAAAGATTTGGTCCCAAATATAGAAGTCAGTGGGCTGATTGAATGGGAGTTAGGCCAAGACAAGATAAATCAGAATTCAATTGGTTTAGACCAGGATATCAGAGTGGACCCGAATGTGATAAAACCAGAAGTCGATTTGAGCCTCAACTTGGGCCGTGGTGTAGGCCCAGTTGTTATTAGAGAACCTGAGGAAGTCCATAGACCTATTAAAGCCCGTTTAAAAGCAAATTGGAATAAGGGAAAAGGTAAGGCCGAGGCATGGGATGATTCTAGTGGTGATAGTTCATCTAAGGAGGATGGTGAGAACCCAAGTCTCAAGTTGGAAGTTTCGAATAGAGCTCTTCTGAATGGAGTGGGCACTTCAAGGGGAAGACTAGATGCAACGATGGGAAAAAAATTTGAGGGTGGGAGATATGACAACTCTATTCTGTATTATGCTAATTAATTTTAATTATGTTTATAATTATATGCTTGATATGATTTTGAGTGCTAATTATATGAATATATATGTGTTTTTGAATTTTGGTCTGTTCACCGTAGGAAAATTTATCTAATTTTCTGTTATAAAATTTAAATTGAAGGCCGTAGAGAAGACAGAAAGCGAAATTAACTGTCCCATTGTGATTAGCATAATTTTTAGAGCCTATGGTGAAATTTAATTAAAAATTTATTCGAATCAAAATAATTAGATTAGTTTGATTTAATTAAGTCCATTTGATTAGGCCTAAACCTTGATTAGGCGTAAGCCTTGATTAGTCAATATAATTAGTGAGACCTATATATGTGCTAATTAGAGGCTTAACTCATATTTTTGGGCTCATTTCTCACCATTTAGCTGAGTTATACACCTTAGAGAGGGAAAACACTTGATTTAGAGGGAGATTGACCAAATTCTTGGGGAATTGACTTTAAGATTGAAGATTTGGAAGGCTAGGCTGAAGAAGTTGCTAGAGTTAGAAGGATTGAAGGCTCCAAGTGAGTATTTGAACTCTAATTCATGAGTTAAAGTTCATGAATATGTGTACACAAGAGGAATTGGTGAATTGTTGTAGAATACAAACTTAACATGATGAATTTGGTGCTAAATTACACATGCATGCGTGATTTTGTTGAGCCACATGATTTTGACCATTATTTCTACCATTTGAAATGGTATTAGAGTCTATATTATACATGCATGCATAATCTATATAGTTATGAAGCTTGGTTGCATGTGTTTTGAAGTTGTCAAGAAGAATATGAAATAATTTGGGAATTGGATCATGGTTTTGGACAATTCGTCTCAAATTGCCTATGTTCTCATGCTATATAATGTCTTTCCATGTTTTGTACCAAAAACACGAGCCTTGGACCTTTGAACATCAAGTTTGAGCTTCAAACACAATTTTGGAAATTCCAGAATTCGGCATATTCGCTCGAGCGAGGAAAGCGTCACTTAAGTGTAAAAATCAAGCTCCTATAAGTTTTACAAAGAATTGCACGGTAGCTCAAGCAGCAAACCTTGCGCTCGAGCGAACCCTGTTTTATTTAACACATCGCTCGAGCGATGAAAGTCTCGCTCAAGCATAAAATTCATGCGTCCAGTACTTTTACAGAGTTTTACAGACTGCTTGAGCGAGGTGCCTTGTTTTAGAAATTTTTGAAAAGCTGTATTATATTCCAAATTCCGTTCTCTTTCAATTTTGAGTATTCTTAGGCACGCATTGAGCATCCTAAATGAATTAAAGGACACAAAAGAAGCCTAAGAACATTAAGCAAACTAAAGAACAGATTGAATTGCATTATGACCCAATGTGTTATGAATTATGTAGGATCAAGTGCAAGAACGAATCAATCACCGAAACACTATGAGTAATATCTTAGTAAAGATAATTTGTGTATATACTATGTTCTAAACGTTACCTGTGTGGTAAGGTTCTAAACTTCTGTTTTGATACTGTGAATGAGTATTCTATCTGCTTGGTTCACACTGAAATAAAAGAAGTAAATGATACATGAGTATGAAATGGGCCCAAGGTCATTCGGTTACTTGAAAAGGATATAAAATGGGCCCAAAGGCCGTTTCGAGTAACGAAATGATTGGACCTAAGGTCGTTTTAAATGCAAAAGAAAATATGAACATGATCATGGATCATGAGTGCGCACAATTGAGAATATGAATTGGTTGGACCCAAGGTCATTGCGCCTACGAATTGGACCCAAGGTCGTTTTGCATATAATGGACCAAAGGTCATTTTGCAAGTACAAGTTGGACGTGAGGTCGTTTGGTATATGAATACGGATATGATATATGACATGTTGGACCTAAGGTCGTTTTGTGTTGATATCGATCAACGAGTTTGGTTTATAACTTACGATTAAATGATTCTCATTCACAAACTCCTTTACTTTGGTATTATTCACTGGGTGTTAGCTCACTCCTTATTTATATATATGTAGATGAGTAGCAGGATGTCTAGCCCCAGCCCTAGCCCCAGTGAGCATTGAGAAACCGAGTTTTGAGGAGTCAACCAATGTCGCCTCACGCAAGAGGCCTTACTTTTGTTTTACTTTCCCTTTTGTTCTCTTATGGTCACGTATGACCAAATTTGTGTATAATCTTGGTTTTTGTTAATACTGACTTTTGAATGGTCCTAGACTTATATAATACACATATGGATGTTTGTATAGTGTGAGTTATTACATATATGAGAATGTTTTGGTTAAGTCATATACACACAGCTCATTGGACAATCTTTGCAAATTTTGCTTCCCATTTTGGCCCCCTATTGTTAATCACGCCTTGGTTTCTAACTGAGGCCGCAGGTAATCTCCTGATTGACTCTAATCCATAGGGACAGGTTTGGGTCATGACAGGAGAGGTGTCACCTACCAGAGCCATGGTTCATTAGGGGAGTAGAAGGTGACGTTGGGTGAACGATAAAGCTGTGGTGAAGCGATTGGGGAAGAAATATGTGAGATGGCACTGGAAAATAAGGGCTCGACAAGCTGAATGCAAGAAATTGGCATGAAGATCATCACACGAAGGATCGCAAGCTGGGGGCGTAGGAAGAGGAAAACTTCACTAGTGCATTTTATTGGCTCAACTGCGAGGAAATTGCTGTGACATACAGTGACGAAGAGGGCTACTAAATCAAAGAGAAAGTGTACGCAAGCAGTGGACAGACCAAATAAGAAGCACTATTCAGATTCAAAAGATTTTGGATCGTGTTTGGATAGAAAAAAGGAATGAGTCAAGTCTAACAATTTTTTTTCCTGGAATATGAGACTGCCTTAATGCTGAACTTGATTCTGGATTCGCATAGTTCGAACTCTTTAGGGTTTTTGGTGGGGGTTGTCCCTAAACAACCTCCTCAATCACCATGAAGCCGTTAAGTTGGAACTGTCGAGGAATGGGTCACCCTCTGATAGTTTGAACAGCTCGATCACTAACCTAATCTTACAAGCCTAATTTACTTTTTCTTATGGAGACTAAAATGGAAGCTAAGAAATTGGAATGGTTAGGATTAACAATGGGTTACCGAAATGGAGTTTATATGTAGTTAGTAGTAATTGTTAAGGACTTCGTAAATTTGTTGTGTTAGACTTTCTAAGTATTATAGGTTAGTAGTCTATTTAATGATATAAATATTTATCATATTTATAAAATTACTCACCTATCAATTGATTTGACCTATAAAACATATATATATATATATATATACACACAAGTGTTCTCTGGAGAAGTTCAATGTTGTCTTTTGAAGAAATACAATAAAAAATTAAAGTAAAAAAGTGAAGTAAACAAAAAAAAAG